TAAATGTTGATCGGTTCACATTATTACAAAAATAAATAAATAAATAAATAAATAGATAAATAAATAAATAAATAAATAAATAAATAAATAAATAAATAAAATGTATTTTAATGATCCATAATCAACATGTAAAGACTTGCTAAGTCTCTAAAATGAATACGTGAATGTTTATCTATTCAAATTTTAATGTCAACTGCATTTATTTAATTGGTATTACAAAACTGTACAAAATAATTATTCAAAGTCTTACTAGTTTAGATAGCTAAACAGACAACATACACACACGCTTGTACGCTTGCTTTTATACTGCATAGACATTTTTACATATTCAATATACTTCTTTTTGTTTTAATTTATGAGTTGTTTTTTTCATAAGGACAATATGTTCCTATATGAGGTCAACATATACAACATTGCTATATTTGTGAGGACATTTGGTCCCCACAACATAAGGCATACAAAATACACACACAAACAAGGACTCTCCAAAGATTTAATGCATTTATACTGTTAAAAAACAATTATTACATAAGCCTAAATTATATAGAACCTTATTATTAAGCTCATTATATAAGCTTGATCATTTAAAATATTTTTAAATTATGGACACAACACATGCCCACATAAATCACCTCAATATTGTAATACCTACAGATAAAATCAAAATAATTTCCTATGATTATTTCCTATAATAGTATTTCCGATAATATTGTTTCTTCTGGAAAAAAAAGTTTTATTTGTTTTATTTTGGCTAGAATGAAAGCAGTTTTTATTTTCTATGAGCCATTTTAAGGTCAATAATATTAGCCAATATATTTTATTGGCTAACTTTATCAATATATTTCCTTAACTGTATGTCATTATACAAATTTGTGTCCTCATTTATCACATAAACAAGCAGACACAAACACACACACACACACACACACACACACACACACACACACACACACACACACACACACACACACACACACACACACACACACACACACACACACAATGTGTTTTCTAAAGTGCTTCCAAAAAAGTGAGCTCTCCTGGGGTTTGGGGTGTGTATGTTTACTATCAACATCATTCGGCAAATTCTGTGAAATTCGTTTCTAGAACATCAAAGAGAGCGACAAGCTTTAAGCAAATGTCTCGTCGGTGCTGTGGAGAATCTCCAAACGCCTTTAAAGCGTGCAGGTGAGAAACGGTTTCGTCCAATTTACAGCGCACAGTCCTGGCTCTACCCGCTTTTCTCCACTGAGAGCATGTTCACCAAAATCTGACAGGACCGGAGGAGTGCACCAGTCAATAACAACACGGCCAATTAGTAGATAAAACCTAGCGAACACCCGGAGCTCTGAAGCGGCTGTCTGAATGGAAAAGATTGCTTCCTGTGAATTGCGAGCGCATTTACACACGCACACGTCAAAATCACATACGCTTCAGCTATTCAGAAACCACTCAAAAGCCAGCGCCACATGCGCAGTGTTAGTAAAAAAATATTAAAAGTCCTGTGAAATTAAAATAAAGTTTATTTTAGATGTTAGTATGAGTGCGTTATGAGCTAGCGTGCTCCAAAATCGAGACAAAATTTGCATTTAGAAAATATAAAACTGATACAAACATCTGAAAAGCTTGCAGTTTGCTTCTGTCTAAATGCATCATTGATTTTATTCACGTCACCTCAATCTTCAGTTTCTCATCAAATCTCCTGTCCAATCAAATGCTCTCTAGTATCTCACATGCCCTGCCCTCTTCAAGACGCTTCTCATTTGGTTTCCATTTTTATGTGCTTGAGCTCGACTACTTTAACTGCCATAGCTGTGATGAAAGGAAATGCTATTGGCTGTCCCATAAAAGGGGAGGAGCTACTCTATGTCCCAACCTCTTTTAATTTTTCGGTTGAGAATATGTTAAACATTGGATAAAGATGCACATTTCAAAGCACTTCATGGGACCTTCAATAATTTAAAGAATGCGTATTATGGGCTTTCCTGACTCTTTTATGGTGCACATAAAAAGTTAAGTTGTTATAGTTAAGGTCATTCAGAACAGTCTTAAAGAGATAGTTCATTTGATGTGTTTGACCAAATCCTATCTTAAAAAAAAACTCCCATTTGGAGGCTTTTTTTATTCTAGGAATATATCCTGCCAGTCCTCCCTGACGAAAAAAAGAAGTCCGACTCATTGACATGTATTTTACAGGATAAACAAATAATAGCTCTTAATTGGAAAAGGATCACTGAGCCAAGAACTGAAAAATTTATCAAAGAAATGGCAGCAATCATGTCGGTAGAAAAGATCATATAGAGTTGAAGTCAGAATTATTAGCCCCCCTTTGAATTGATTTATTTTTTAAATATTTCCCAAATGATGTTTAACAGAGCAAGGAAATTTTCACAGTATGTCTGATAATATTTTTTCTTCTGGAGAAAGTCTTATTTATTTTATTTTGGCTAGAAGAAAAACAGTTTTTCATTTTTTAAACAACATTTTTGGACAAAATTACACTGAAAACAGTGTTGCATGCAGAACTGTTGCAAACAATTTATTTGTGTTGAATTTAAACAAACAAATTAAGTTTAATAATGTTCAACTTAACTTATTTGTTTAAATTCAATACAAATAAATTGTTTACAACCACTTAACGTAAAAAAAGAGTAAATCCAAGGAATCATCTTTGAAATTTTTTTTCAGTTAGCCCTTTTAAGCTACATTTTTTTAATAGTCTACAGAACAAACCATTGTTATACAATAACTTGCCTAATTACCCTAACCTGCCTAGTTAGCCTAATTCACCTAGTCAGGTGTTGGGGGTGGGGGCCCGGGGGGTGCGGTTGTAATGCAATTGGCAGCACAAATGTCTTTATACCTCAGGCTGTTGATGTTGCCATCTACTCTGCAGATCTCTCGCATGGCCCAAAACAGAATTTAACCCCAAACCATGCTTTTTCCTTTACCAAACTTGACTGAATTCTCTGAGAATCTTGGGTCTATGCAGGTTCCAGTAGGTCCTCTGCAGTATTAGTGATGACTGGGATGCAGTTCAACAGATGATTCCTCAGAGAAATCTACCTTCTGCCACTTTTCCAAATGATCAACTAGAAGTCAAGTTATTATTCGTTGCTCTTACTACTGGGATCGACGACAAGGCTTTAGTCAGGTAGTGTGTAAGCTCATGGTTTTAAAACAAATCAATTGCATAAAAAAGGGGAAATAACTAAACATAATCACTTTAAGTGGAAGAACACTTCTGAATAACCCTAACAGCCAAAGTCAATTGAGGGAAACGCTTGAAAAACAAATCTGCTGTTTGCCAATCTGCCCAAAAAAGCTGTCAGACTGTATATCTCCGTCCCTTTGTCTCTCCTTCGCTCTTTCTCTCGCTCTCTGTCTAACAGGATGCTGAGCTCAGCATTTCTTTATGACACCATATCCCTCTTTCCCAGGTGCGGCGGGAGGAACGGCCCATCAGCATCTATTGATCCGTTCAATCAGCAGTGCAGAAACACCACATACAATGCTGATCATTCACACGCTTCTCATCCGTGACAGACGAGACAGTGAGACTGCGTGCTGAAAGACTGGACAAGAAAAAAAAAGATGCAGTTCCTTCCTCGTACACTCGGATTAAAGTATAAACGAAATCATAACTAACCATGTTGATTTTGTTAGCTCGCATTGCTAGTTTTGAGATGAACAATACATCTGCGCATGTCATTAAGAAAAAAACTAAGTGTCCTTGTAATCCGAAATTGAAATCTAAACTTCCTGTTTGATTTCAGTTAAATTCTCAGATTAGGTCTGTCTGAGGTTTTAAGTATGTTAGCCACGCCCCTTCAACAGTCAGCTTTGACAACAAACAGAAATGGTGAGGAGGAGGAGTCTGTTAGGTTAGGTAAAACTCCTCCTCTAAAACCCAGTTCCAGATATTTCTGAAGGAAATGCCTACTTTCCTACATCCAATCAGCTTACGGTAAAAAAAATACATGCCACGCCCACTTTTTCTCATTAAATATTCCATTTCTCTAGGAACTGCATCACAATATGAAACAAAAAAAGGGTTGCAACTTCCGGTTCATGTGGACTTTAACAGCCTGAGGGGAAAAACAGTGATGATAAGGACTGAAAGAATACCTTTTCTTTGTCTCTCATGGATCCCTTGCCGAGGATGGACATCTTGGTCAGCGTGTCCTCCTGCAGTCTCTTTAATGAGTTCCCTCGAGGACCCAGGAGTTTACCCACAAAATTAAACTAATAAAGAGAGAAAACACACACACATACACAGATTTTACTTCATAGTCCGGTTTGATCATTAGTATTTTATGACGATAGCAGATATGTAAAATGACAGGCTTGATACGTTCTCATGCAAAAGCAGTTAAACATTTATCAAAGGCACATATTAGCGTTAATCATAATCAAATGCACATATTAGCGTTAATCATAATCAAATTAAACTGCACTGCTTTTATCAGTCATGATCCTCTTTTTTGCTGTTACACATGGTTTCATGATCAAATATTTCAGTGAGACATTGAACTTGATGTTTTTCTTCACATTGGATGTAATAAGTGTAATGTCACAGAGTAAAAAACACACACACATTTATTTAAATAGAAAATGAAACAATCTTTATTGTTTAATTGTTTGTTTGCGTGTGTTTGTATATACACAGAGCTTGATATTAATTTTTTTGATCACCAGCCACTGTGGCTTGTAGATTTCCAACATTAGCCACTCGCCATTTTCACTAGCCACACTTTTCTTGTTGAGAAAAATATATTTTATATGACTAAATTTGACTTTGACAAGATAAAATGACTTGATTTAGATGTTGTGTTATCAAGTGTGCCGCAAGCCTACGTTCGAGTGAAGGTTTCGGCCGTTAGATCGCCCCCTGGGGGCTGGCTGCAGTACAAATCATAAAGCCCGCCTCCTCCGTGTTAATGAAGGAGACTTGAGCCCAAATAAAAAAAAATATTACACTTGCAATAAAATGTCCCGAAAGATAGTCGTGGTCGATTAAGGCACTGGTTATTGTGCTGAAATAGGTGCAGATCTTCATTTTTGTAAACAGTTTGTTTTTAGCAGTAATTTAATGCTGGGCGTGTCATCGTGATTGACAGCTGTGATTGACAGTTTCTCAAAGCGCGGCGTCTGAGCTTCGGCAGGAGACTGAAGTAGACTGAAATGTTATTATTCGATTTCTGTGTTATTTTACCATGACAAAATGAGTTCAGCAGTAAACTATAGTTTCTGACATACATGATCCTGGTGGAACACTGTTTATTCGCTAAGTTCAGGGCTTTTTTCGGGCTTTATTAGTTTGCTGATACACGCCTAGCCACCCAGATAGCAAAACACAGTTCAGGCTAGATTCTCGCCTGCCGGAGACTTATCTCTTAGAGCTCAGACTGACTAATGTTACCTCTGCTGGACCTACTCCGGATGCCTGGACTCACTGCCCGATTCCAGTCCGAGTCAATCGAGCCAGATGCGGCGGCCGAGCGAGCCGGCGCTGCCGCATGCGAGCCGGAATCAGCCCGCGACGCCGCGAGTAAGTTATGCGCTGCGGCCTGGAGCTGGCGCGATTGAATATATAAAACCCTCATATTTGTTAACGTTATTACATCCATTTGTGTTGATATGACAGCAAACGCATGCTGAGAAGTTCGGGGGGCGTAGTTGATTTTACATAAAGCGTTTGATTGGAAGCTCGACTCTGCTTATTTTCGCGGCTCCTCCTCTGGCTCCATCAGACAATCCTTCTGCGCATGTCTGGCTCCAATTTCAGCAGTCTTTTGCGACAGTTTGTGCCCGTCAAGCAGGCGTTTTGCCCTCAAGGCGTTCAATGGGAAAAAGGGCTGTCGCGTCGTCCATATTTTTTACAGTCATTGTGTGTTATGTCCACATGCCTCCTCATTCATTTCACTTTTTATGTGCATTGTGTATTAGCTTGCTCAGTGTGCATGAGCAAATGGGTTGAGTCGCAATGCAATCAGTTTTTATTTCACGACATTTCAGGGCTCAAAATTAAGGATTTATCAAATTTATCTTTGACCACAGCAAATAAGTATTTCTTAGACACAACTTTTTATTGTGTTAAAACAAGGAAAATATAGCTTTATAGGTGTTACTTTTTAATTCAACAAAACTTTTCTTTAAAAAACATTACATTTAAAAAATAATTATGTTCATGTATCTAAAATATGCACAGTAATCTGTTCTGGCTAAAAGTCCCAGATCACCAGTTACAACACATAAACAGGGAGTAATCTTCCATTAAGCAATGTTTTTGTGAAAAATATATAATTAAACCATATTAACGAAAATAACTGTAAGCAAAAGAAAGCAGGTGAGTGAAAACACATACCGTGTTTGATAATGAAAGGATGTTCACGTGCACACGGTAAATATAGGCCTGTTAATAATCTGATCAACGAATAACTTAAATGAAAGCAGTGACTGCTGCAGCTAATGTGTGTTTTTTATCTTGAGCTCTTGAAAGCAGTCAGGGCTGTCTGTGGGTGAACAATCGTCACTCTTTGTCCAGTCTATTTCAAAGGGAACAGATAGCACCAGTTGCGCTACTTCTAGGCAAGGTTATTTATAGAGCACAATTTTACACAACCAGAGTTGATCCAAAGTGCTTAACAATAAAATAAACTAGACAATAAAACAAAAAAAAAACTGCTATTAAAACTACAAGGAAATCTATGGGCTCTATTTTGACGGTCCATGCGCAGAGCGCAAAACGCAGGGCACAAACGCTTTCAGGGCGTGTCAGAACGCATTTTTGCTAATTTAAGGACGGGAAAATCTGCTTTGCGCCATGGCGCATGGTCTAAAAGGGTTGAGTTTATTTTGTTAATGAGTTATAGGTGTGTTTTGAGAATAAACCAATTAGAGTCTCATCTCCCATTCCCTTTAAGAGTCAGCTGCGTCGCGCCATAAGCGCATTCGCTATTTACAGGACGCAAAGTAAGTCTAAGTGGAAAAAATGAGCATTTCACTAGCAAACAGTTAACAGTTGACAGTTTTTTTAACAGAAAACTGTTAAACAGAGCATCTACTGCGTGAGAATGAGAGATAATGGATCAATTCGCTCTTGGATAGGGAAACCTTTACGCACAGACATCAATTAGTCTATAAATAATTAATTGCGTTTGTTAAGCGCAAATATTCGTTTCAAAACTATTTCTAAATTCAGTTCTAATTTCCAGCAAACGAATAAATGAATAATAATAACGAAGTGTGCTCAAAAACCTGAGTTATATCCTAAAACACATGCTGTGCCCCATATGGTCTAAAACCTGACAGGTGGGCAAATCTAAGCTTGTTTTTAATAAAACAAATATAAATATGGATATAATAAATAATACTGCTAATAATAATAACATTATACAAAAGCAAATTGTTATGAATGAACTGAAAAAGCCTCCCGAGATGAAGAAGACATAAAAGCAGTGATTTTTCATATTTATGTAGGCTGGAAAATAATATGTTTTGTAATATTTTAATCCCTTATATTTATATCCAATATGTATTCTTATTATATCCCATATATATATATATCCTTAATATTCAATTTTTTTAATATTTAAAGATATTTGCCTATTGCTCTCTTGTGCGTATTAAGTAGTGCGTAAACGAAGCGCAGCTCTGCGCCGGAGTTTAGACTGGCTTTGTTTTGGTCTAATGAAAAATCTATTATATTTTCTCAAAATAGCAACGCGCCAGCAGTGCGCCTCAGAACGCCTTCCTTTTTAGACCAGAACGCCTATGGGCGCACAAATGAGCGCTAATGCATTTGCTATTTAAACAGCGTAGCACAACGCCTCAAAACGACACTTGCGCCAAGCTGAAACTACCAAACAAGTATTGCGCGGCGCCTTGCGCAACATTGCGCCGGGTGTATGATAGGGCCCTAAATGTTTAAAAGTAATACTAAAATACAAATAAAATAAATGAGTCACTCAAAGGCAAGAGAGTAAAAATAAGTCTTTAAGTTAGATTTAAAAGCATCCAATGAAGGAGAAATCCTGATGTTCAGAGGGAGGCTGTTCCAGAGCCTTGGGGCCGCAACACAGAAAGCTCGATCACCTTTTAATTTGCAGCGAGACCGAGGGACAGACAAAAGAAACTGGTCATTTGATCTTAACGGTCTACAAGCTGAATAACCGTACGTTCACACCGAAAGCGGCAAGAGCGTCAAAGTAGCCGGAAGTCATTGATTTTCAATGAGAGCCAGCGGCGATAAGCGGCGATAAGCGGCGAGGAGCAGCGCGGCGCGTCTTTGCCGGCGTGGGCGTCGAGGAGAGTTGAAATCAAGTAAACTTTATGGTAATGAGCTATGACGCAGTTCAGCGGCCAGCAATCCGAATGAAGACGTCCACTGCTTGAGAGGAGTTCAGAGAACACAGACCTGTGAACTTTGGTTCCGACCACAGTTGTTCCCAAGGGTTTGATGATTGTGGTCACCGGATTTCCAATTATTTACGATGTTTTCTTACAGGAATATGTATTATATAAGTTACTGGCGAGTTACTAATGTGCATTAATGTTATATATATTTATCTTTAAAAAGCGGGAATCTCAGGCGACGTGACAAAACAAAACAGCATAACGTTAGCTGCTTCAGGATATTTCAGACATAAGGACACATATTGGATAAATAGAGCAAAGCCACACCACACGCAACTTGATCTTCCATTGTTATATGAATTTGATAAGAAGTGCGCAACATTTTCACGATAGAAACATGTTTTATGCAGGAATGTAACTGATATGCTGCAATGGCTCTTTTAAATACGAGATCAATGTAGCGAGTTTTGACGCTCTCGCCGGCGGAGTTGAAGGCAGACAGCGGTGTCGCCAGGGCGGCCAGAGCAACCTTGGATGCTCTCGCCGCTATTGGTGTGAACGTACGGTAAGGCCTAATAAGTTCACTGACATAGGCCGGGGCAGAACTGTGCAATGCTTCATAAGCGAAAAGAAGAGTTCTAAAATCAACCCTGTATTTTATAGGTAGCCAGTGCAATGAGGCGAGGACAGGGGAGATATGATCTCTTTTCTTAGTTCCTGTTATTAATCTGGCGCCTGCATTTTGGACCAACTGTTGCCGAGAGAGTGTTGACTGAGGTAGACCAATGTACAAAGAGTTGCAGGAGTCTAACCGAGAGGAGATTAAAACAAGGGTTACGATTTCTAAATCTTTTAGAAATCATTAGCAATGTTAACAATTAGCATGCTGCATTTCCAGCTCTCGATTGTTCAGTCTACTAGAAGACAAAACCACAATCACAGAAATAAATCTGTGAAAAACTCTTGAGCAGAATCACACGAGACTGGAGATCTAAAACACACAGATCTGTGTCACATCCAGACGGAAACAGACGACGAGGATCAGAGGAACACATGAGAGAAGAAAGGAAAAGAAAGCAAGTAGCGCCATTCCCAGAGAGACGAAAGGATGGCGGAGAAAGGAGGAAGCGTGTGGTCTTAGGAGGTGAGACAGGTTCCTCTGCTCTTCTTGTTAAAGCGCTTCACCTGCGTCTGCTGCTGTTCAGACTTGTTAGCGCTGAACCCTGAGCGGGAGATCAAACCCTGCCACCCATGAAGACCTCAGAGAGTCAGCTGACACGCTCACAGATCTGCTCAAAACCTGGAGATCACACCAAGTCTGATGGTGAAGTTGAAATACCACAATTAGCAGAAAGAGAGCAGCAAACACAGGTAAAGTCATCATTATTAGCCCTGCAGGCTTTTACTCATTCATTTTAATTCATCTTAGTCCATTTATTCATCAGGGGTCACCACAGAGGAATGAACCGCCAACTAATGCAGCACATGTTTAGCACAGCGGATGCCCTTCAAGCTGCAACCCAGTAATGGGAAACACCCATAGGCTCTCATTCACACTATGGCCAACTTAGTTAATCTAATTCACCTATAGCGCATGTCTTTGGACTGTGGGGGAAAACGGAGCACCTGGAGAAAATCCACACCAACATGAGAACATGCAAACTCCACACAGAAATGCCAACTGACCTAGCCAGGACTTGAACCAGCAACCTTCTTGCTGTAAGGCGACAGTGTCAACCACTGAGCCGCAGTGTCGCCGCCCCGTATGCATTCATTCATTCATTCATTTTTTTGTCGGCTTTGTCCTTTTATTAATCCAAGGTCGCCACAGCGGGATGAACCGCCAACTTATCCAGCAAGTTTTTACGCAGGGTATGCCCTTCCAGCCGCAACCCATCTCTGGGAAACATCCTCACACACATTCACACACACACATACACACTACGGGCAATTTAGCCTACCCAATTGACCTGTACCGCATGTCTTTGGACTGTGGGGGAAACCGGAGCACCCGGAGGAAACCCACGTGAAGGCAGGGAGAACATGCAAACTCCACACAGAAACGCCAACTGAGCCGAGGTTCAAACCAGCGACCCAGCGACGTTCTTGCTGTGAGGCGACAGCACTACCTACTGCTCCACTGCCTCGCCCCGCCCCGTATGCAGTAATACTCAAATTTTGGCTTGTAAGAATGAGTAGATGTATGATGCTAAAGTAGAATAACCGTTTGCATATGCTGTATTCATGTATTAATAAGAAACTGTGAAAAATACTGTATACACTCACTGGCCACTTTATTAGGTACACCTGTCCAACAGCTTGTTAACGCACATTCCTGATCAGCCAATCACATGGCAGCAACTCAACGCATTTAGGCATGTAGACATGGTCAAGACGATCAGAATGGGGAGGGTGATTTAAGTGACTTTGAACGTGGCATGGTTGTTGGTGCCACACGGGCTAGTCTGAGTATTTAAGAAACTGCTGATCTACTGGGATTTTCATGCACAACCATCTCTAGGGTTTACAGAGAAAGGTCTGAAAAAGAGAAAATATCCAGTGAGCGGCAGTTCTGTGGGCGCAAATGTCTTGCTGATGCCAAAGGTCAGAGGAGAATGGCTCCTATAAAAGAATAAGGTTAAAGTAACTCAAATAAGCACTCGTTACAACCGACGTCTGCAGTTGAGCATCTCTGAACACGTCCAACCTTGAGGCGGATGGGCTACACCGGGTGCCACTCCTGTCAGATATTAACAGGAAACTGAGGCTACAATTCTCACATTAAAATTGGACAATAGAAGATTGAAGAAACATTGCCTGCTCTGATGAGTCTCGATTTCTGCTGCGACATCCGGATGGTAGGGTCAGAATTCAGTGTCAACATTCTGCCTTATATATTAACGGTTCAGGCTGATGGTGGTGGTGTATTGGTATAGGGATATTTTCTTGGCACACTTTGGGCTCATTAGTACCAACTGAGCATGATGTCAGCGCCACAGCCTACCTAGTATTGTTGCAGACCATGTCCATATGTTTATGACCACAGTGTACCTATCTTCTCTTATATACTTGATGCAAAATAATGCACCATGTCATAAAGCACAAATCATCTCAGACTGGTTTCTTGAACATGACAATGAGTTCACTGCACTCAAATGGCCTCCACAGTCACCAGATCTCAATCCAATTGAGCACCTTTGGGATGTGATGGAACGGGAGATTCGCATCATGGATGTGCAGCTGACAAATCTGCAGCAACTGCGTGATGCTATCATGTCAATTTGGAGCGAAATCTCTGAGGAATATTTACAGTAGCTTGTTGAATCTATCTATGTCACAAAGGATTAAGGCAGCTATAAAGGAAAAAGGGGGTTCAACCCGATACTAGTAAGGTGTACCTAATAAAGTGGCCGGTAAGTTGGATGCAACCTATATCTAATGTAGGCCATATTTTAGCCGTGTACTTGCATTAAGTCCCTGTGGTGTGATTGTCAGTCCCCACATTAGATTTTCCGAGTGCAGAATGTTCCTCGGCTGATGGCTGTTTGTGCAGTTGCTTTCATTAGATGCCTGTTATTTGCTGAGGGTTTTGTTTGGCCGCTCTTTAATGGTGTAATCTGATGATATTAAGGCTTGTAAATGACAGCGTGGGCCTTAATCTAGACATTAAACACAACACAGAGCTGCGTGAGGATTTACAGAAAGCTCTAAAGCTCTTAAATGTGCATGCACTGCATGCACACACACACGCACGCACGCACGCACACTCACACAAACGCACACACACACATTTGGCTCTACATTTTAACATGAGTGAAAGACTGTCTAAACTAGCCATAAGATGCATGAGTTTTTTTATGGTTGCTATGCAGTTGCTAGGGTGCTGATGATGGTTGTTATGATGTTGCTATGCAGTTCCTAACAAGTTTTGTAGTTGGTTGCCATGATGTTGCTATATGGTTGCAAGGGCATTTTGTGTAAGTACCATTGCCAATGAGCTATAGCTGGTTGCTATGGTATTACATGGAGTTGCTAGGGTGTTCTAAATTTTTGCCAGGGTGTAGTTATGCAGTTGCTTACGCGTTGTAGTTGGTTGCCATGACACTGCTATGATGTGGCTAGGATGTAAGGAGGGGTTGCTAGGGCATTGCTTTGTAGTTGTAGTTGGTTGACATGATGTTGCAAGCAGTTGCTAGGGTGTACTAAATTGTTCCCAGGGCACTGCTATACAGTTGCTTAGGTGTTGTAGTTGGTTGCCATGACATTTTCATGTTGTGACTAGGATGTTAGGAGTGGTTGCTAGGAGTTTGCTATGCTGTTGCTTAGATAATATAGTTGGTTGCTATGATATTGCTCTGCAGTTGCTAGGTTGTTCTAAATTGTTGCCAGGCGTTGTTATGTAGTTGCTTAAGTGTTGTAGTTGGTTGCCATGACATTGCCATGTTGTGACTAGGATGTTAGGAGTAGTTGCTAGGGAATTGCTATGCAGTTGTTGTTGGTTTACATGATTTTACAAGCAGTTGCTAGGGTGTTCTAAATTGTTGCCAGGGCACTGTTATACAGTTGCTTAGGTGTTGTAGTTAGTTGCCATGACATTGCTATGCTGTGACTAGGACTTTCGGAGTGGTTGCTAGGGCGTGGCTATGCAGTTGTAGTTGGTTGCTATGATATGGCTATGCAGCTGCTAGGGTTTTCTGAGTAGTTGCCAGGTCATTGATTATTCAGTTCATTGGGTTTTGTAATTAGTTGCCATGATGTTGCTATATGGTTGCTATATGGTGTTTTGTGTAATTGTAGATTGAGCTATACTATTGCTGATGAGTTGTAGCCGGTTGCTATGATACCGCATGCTGCTGCTAGGGTGTTTTAAATTGTTGCCAGGGTATTGATGTGTAGTTGTGTTGTAGGTGGCTGCCATGAAATTGCTATGCTGTGGCTAGGATGTTCTGAGGGGTTGCTAGGGCATAGCTATGCAGTTGTAGCTAGTTGCTATGATATTTTATGCAGTTGCTAGGATGTTCTAAATTGTTGCCAGGACATTGCTATGCAGTTGCTTGGATGTTGTATTTGGTTGAAATGATACTGCTATGGAGTTGCTAGGGTTTTCTGAGTGGTTGCCAGCGCATGGCCAGGGAGTTTTAGCTAGTTGCTATGCTATTGAATGCAGTTGCTTAGGTGTCATAGTTGGTTGCTATGACCTAACAACACGTTATGTGATGGGATACGCAGTGATAAGCAATTTGCACCAGACGGAACACAACAGAAATTGAAATAAAGCCATTTTGAAGCACAGAATAGTGCCCTTACTGCACTCCAACGAAAAGGTAATGTTTATAGTCTTGAACATTATTAAATGTATATGCTGACTCATTGATATGTGTAGGCTTGCACAAGTTCACAGCTGTGACAGTTCTAATGTTTAATTTCAAACGGTTTGTTTGATTTTTAAGATTTGACAGAAATGTAAATACATTCAGAAGCACTGAATAGTGCACTCACCGCACTCCAACGAAATGGTAAGGTTTAGGATCTCATTAAGACATATTAAACCTCTTTAACATTATTAAATGTACATGCTGAATCACTGATATGTGTTGGTTTGCATTAGTTCTCAGTTCTAAAGTTCAATTTCAGATGGTTTATTTTATTCTCTAAGGTATCTGAAGCAAGCTATTTGCTGCTGCTTTTAATAGTACGGCAATAAATATCACGTAAAATGACTTTAAAACTCATTATTAGCATTTAACATTGAATAAAGCACATGATGTGCACCTGAGGTGATCATTACCGGTTTATTCTGTTGTTCAACTGAAAGAAAAATAGGAGCTCTTTCTAAAATTGAATTTTCAGGTGTTGGTTGGAACAAAAACTCCTTTTAATATGGGAAATAATCCTTCTATCGTGTTTCATTTATTTTAAACATGACTCAAACCAGCCTTTAGGCTTGATAGTCAGGGTGTTGATGTCTTTAATCTAACAACCTGCACTTGTTTGTGATTTGATCCTGACGTACAATACCTAGTCCAACCACTGGGTGTCAAACTTACACACTGCTTCTTTAATAGAATTAATACTTCAACAAAAGACGTAAGGAGCAACGCAGTGGCGCAGTAGGTAGTGCTGTCGCCTCACAGCAAGATGGTCGCTGGTTCGAACCTCGGCTGGGTCAGTTCACGCTTTTGTGTGGAGTTTGCATGTTCTCCCTGCTTTGACATGGGTGTCCTCGGGGTGCTTTGGTTTCCCCCATGATTTCCCAAAGACATGCGCTACAGGGGAATTGGGTAGGCTAAATTGTCCGTAGTGTATGAGTGTGTGTGTTTGTGTGTGTGGATCTCTCCCAGAGATG